CCAGGAACACCATGATCTGTACTTTGGAGCAATTATTCAATTTGGGGCAATTACTCGTAGGTGTTCTGTAAAGCAAAGATGTTGCCAGACTGTGACTGAATTTTGAAATAGCAATATCCAAATCAGTTAAGGAGCCACTTCTTCATGCTTGCAAGGCTAATCTCGGTCTGTCCTCACTGGAGGAAGTGGTGACCCTTTCTTTCCACAGGAAGCTGGGTTTCTATTGCCTCGTATCCTACAAGCAGTCACCTACTTTTTGTGAGTGTTTTCAATACAGAGACAAATAATGGAATTTAGTTTTGGTAGAAGTCACCTACTGGTTCTCTTTCTGCTCTTTGCTCTCAAAATGTACTTGCCTTTAAATGAAAGGAATCACTTTAATCCTTTGGGAATTAGAGGACACATTAAATAATATCTAGATAAGGGATTTATTCATTTATTCACCTATTCATTGAACTATCCTTTCTAATAACTTAGTGGTTTATTTTATTTTTTTTTTATTTCAGCATATTATGGGGCTACAAATGTTAAGGTTACATATATTGCCCATGCCCCCCTAACTTAGTGGTTTAAAGTATGACTTTTAGATTGGGCTATTTAGCTTAAAATCCTAGATCTGCACTTACTAGCTGTGTGATTTAGGGAATTTACTCTGTTTTCTCTAAATCTTAATATCCTTGGGTGTAAAATAGAATTTAGGGTTGTTGGGGGATGAAATAAGGCCATGCCTTTAATGTAGTTAATTCAGATCTTGGCACATAGAAAATGCTGTGGTTGCTGGCTCTTATTTATTATTTTGCACTTGGACTTAGACCTTGTACTATAAAGAATAAGTGGGCGTAGAATATTACTTGTTTTTGTTTCACTGTTAATAATTCTCCAAACTTTTTAGCCCTTTGACTCCTACTAGGTATACTTGTTTACCTCTCAATAACAAATAAATTGCTAGAGAATACATATTCCTAAAAAGGGGACATATTTTGAAAATGTATGAAATCTTTTGCTTTTAAAAATACATTTCAAAAAATATATTTCAGCTCAAATAGGCAGAGTTTGGACTGTGGAAAAGGAGGTAAAAAATAAAGTATCAATAAAGGACTTAGTAATGGTGGCTTAGAAGAGTGAAGAGTGGTTCTCTTATCATTCGCATCTTGTTGGCCAGGAGACTGTGCTGAGGACCATTGCTGGCATTGATGTTATCATTTTGAAACCAACCTATTTGTAGTGTCCCTCTTTTAAACTGACCAACATCTGCTCTGTGGAAGAGTCCTATAACTTAATGATATCTCTAATTATATTTTTAAATAAAAATAAGTCTTATTTAAAAGAAAAAATATTTTAAAATATCCAACTAAGGTTATTTCCTTTACTGTCCTCTTAGGAAATCAGGATAACATTTTGTAGTGCAAAAAATAACTTGATAGAATAACAAGTTTTTCCTGATTTCCAACAACTCAGATGTCTGTAAGTATGTTATGTGTTTGCATAGTCTGGCCACTCTAGTCGACTTTAGTTTAAGGCTTATGAAGTCTTCACTTGTCTTGATTTTTATGAGTAAAGTCTAGAACTTGATATAAGCAGGTACAGTAAAACCTTACTATTGTGAACTTGTTTAAAGAATTTACATATATTAAATATAAATTCTTCAGGTAACTGAAAGTTTCTTCTTTAGCTTCCCAAACTTTAATTTTTTTTTTTAATTTTTATTTAAAACACACACTCTGCTTCCTTTTGTTTTTTTGGGTTTTGTTTTTTTTTTTTTTTTGAGACAGAGTCTTGCTTTGTTGCCCAGGCTAGAGTGAGTGCCGTGGCGTCAGCCTAGCTCACAGCAACCTCAAACTCCTGGGCTCAAGCAATCCTACTGCCTCAGCCTCCCAAGTAGCTGGGACTACAGGCATGTGCCAGCATGCCCGGCTAATTTTTCTTTTTTTTTTTTTTTTTTTTTTTTTTTTCTCTTAAGACACAGGAAGATATAATTTTTTCTATATATATTAGTTGGCTTTTAATTTTTTTCTATTTATAGTAGAGACGGGGTCTCAACTTTGCTCAGGCTGGTTTCGAACTCCTGACCTCAAGCAATCCGCCCGCCTCGGCCTCCCAGAGTGCTAGGATTACAGGCATGAGCCACCGCGCCCAGCCTGCTTCCTTCTTAAGCACAGTATTTTAATATGATGTAATTCATAATTCACTAATGTTGCTAACTAATGTTATCAATCATTATTGATAATTGGAGGGTTGTTGGCTCCCCCAAGTGGGCTGAGATAGCTATACATTTTATTGGTTTTTTAAAAAATATATCTCCCAGGTCTGTGAGATATAATATTTTAATTCTGACAACTGTTTCCACAGCCTATCTATCCTTAACTTCATGTAGCGCATACTTTGTCTTATAGTTTGCTACTTCTAATATTTATAAATTCTAAAATCATATCACCAAACTAATTAGAAGTATGTATAAAATAAAAATTTAGGCTAGGTGCCGTGGCTCACACCTGTAACCCTAGCACTCTGTGAGGCCAAGACAGGTGGCTTGCTGAGGCAAGGAGTTCAAGACCAGCCTGAGCAAGAGCAAGACCCCATCTCTACAAAAAATAGAAAGATTAGCTGTACATGGGGGTGTGCACCTATAGTCCCAGCTACTAGGGAGGCTGAGGCAGGAAGATGGCTTGAGCCCAGGAGTTTGAGGTTGCACTGAGCATGATGATGCCACCATACTCTATTCTGGGCAACAGAGTGAGGCCCTGTCTAAAAAAATTTTTTTAAAGGTTGAACAAAGTTTTCTTTTAGTGTTTGTGAAAGCTATTTTGGATATTTAGAGATCTTTACTTTTTTTTACTTCTAAGTTCTTGTTTGTGTTTTATATACTTCAGTTGTCTGGTAGTTTGATTTTGAGATAACAGTAGAAACAGATTTCTTACTATAATTTAATGATGATTCCATAAATTTCTCTAGTTGGGTTATAGGGGGAAAAATCAATCCTGGAAAATTTGGTATAGCTAGTATGGTTTAATCATCTGGTCATCAAATAAGCACCTAGTATGTATCTTACACCAGCACTGTGTGATGAAAATGTCACTAGACTAAACATCAGGAGGCTTAAGGGCTGGTCCTGGCCTGCTACTAATCACATCTATTAATATAACCTTGGGCTAGTCACATTCATATTCTGAAAAATGAGAATCATAGTCTAGGTGGTTAGGAGAGTGAATGAGATTTCACTATTCCTGTGAACGTAAAGAGTTGGGGGAAAAAGTTTGACAGGGAGGATGAGAATACATCTGAGTTGGTTGAACATGGAATGGAGTTTCCAAAGAATAACATGAAAGAATTTGGGAAGGAGAGGAGGAGTAGGAAGCTGGCTTAGGAGAAAGGACCAGAGCATTATGAGGATCAGAAAACTAGAGATAAGAGAGGCTTACATTTTGAACAGTGACTGATAACAAGAACTGGAAACATGGTAGATTTAATCCTAATGGTGGTTGATAAACACTCAGATTGTGAGAATTCACTGCTGACTAGAAGTTGTAATATTGGGGTGGACAGAAGGTGAGGGCAGGACAGCAGGTCTTTTATATCTTAGCCTGCACGTTTTTGTGGCAAGTGGGCAGCAGCTAGTAGGTGAGAACTCAAATTTAGAGTAAGAAAGTGAATTTTGTTTAATTGTAACTCAAGTTTTTTGACCTACAATAGTTTCTTTTATTTTTTCTAATTGGTAAATTGTAATCAAAACCAGTCCAGGATCCTTGCTTGGTGTGGTGATGAACAGTGTCAATTCATTTTTGTTTTTTGGCCTGATTATACTTACTTCCAACTGCTTTTGGTTTTTTAAAGAATTAGCTGAGTAAACCCCAAACCAAAAATATTTAGTTTATATTTTAACCAACCAAATATTATGTGTGTATCATTCATCCCGTCACCATTTTGTCATGTTTCTGGTATCTGAATGTGAAAGGACACATTAGCAAACTGTAACAGGAATGCACTCTAGGTATCTAGGCCTAATCCTTACTTCTGGAGCAATTTTGGAGACAGAAAATCATGAGTTTATTATAAGCTTTTTGCATAATACATTTGACACAGCTTTATATCCAAAAGGCAGATTCTGTGACCAAAATGGAGAGGGCACATTAAATAGACTCTGAATTTATGGGAGATGTTAACTCATACTTGAAAGATCTTTCTTCTCATGCATGATAACTTGCATGGCAAGGAAATAGCACATTTTGTGGCAACCTTATTTCTGATTCTATTATCTTGATTATACAAGATTCACTGTCTCTTGAATTTAATAGCTCAATATCTCTTTAGAGTCAGTGGGCTGAACCCAGATTTCAAAATTCAGTTACAACTTGGCTTCTTAAGAAGCTGGTTAGTTTGTTTATTCCTAAAGAAATATTGCTCTGGGTTTCAGGAAAGAAAAGGAAAAGGAAGTCTGGCAGATACCCCCGGATTACCACCTCTAGTTGTTCAAATAATACTTGAAATAAGCACTAAAACAAAGAACAAAAAAATAAGAACACTAGTAGAAATACAGTGTGGTACAACTCTCCCTATACAATCTGTGCCACTCATCAGTGACACTATTTGTCTTTTTTTGTTTTGCCCCTGGCAATTGAACTGTAGCATCCAGAAGTCCAGACTAGGATTGGGAATTTCAATGAATAATTTTAGATGTCTGCATCATTCTGCCAGCTTGAGCAAGGAACTTGATTTCACAAACCTTAGACACATGCAAATAATCCAGAAATGGATTGAAAGAAAATAACTTATTTTAAAAATAATAATTCTATGTGAACATTGAATAAATAGCACCTAAAATTTGCAATAAGCCACTCAGAGAAGGAAAATACCTTTTAAAAAAACCTCATGATTTATTATTGTATGTGAAGATGAAAATAATTAGGAATTTTATTAAAGAAGTATGAAAGTCTTGGGAAAATACTTAATAAAATAGTATTAGATGTTACGGTATTGATTTTCACTTTCTTTTTCTGTTTCAGGGTTTGAACATAATCTTTCATGTAGCCTTGGCTCTCCTAAAGGTAAGTCAGTTTTTATTTTAAGTTACCAAGCTATCTTACCTCTTTGCCCTTGGGACTGGAATAATTCAGTTTCCAGCTTTTGACTCATTCTAGGTTCTTGAACACACAAAAAAAAGATGAATTCTTGAGAAACTCTGATCCTCTCCCCTCTTCTCATCCTTGTTTGTTGTTATTTGGAGTTTGATTTTCTTATAATCTATTTAATTTTGTTATCATGGCACTTCTTTCAGTAACATAAAAGATCTCTTTTATTCATATGAGTTGGATGATATAAGAGATAATGTTAAAACCTGTTTTCTGTCAAAATGATGCCAGCTTTTTTCTTAAAACACTTTTTACTCTAATAATATCCCTGGAGGTACCTAAACATATAATTGAATTATTAAAAATCTTCTATAATATACTGACTAAAAAGGAAACTGCTACATTTCAATTTGCAGCTCTTTCCCTGCTAGCTGGAAATTTATAAGACACTTTAGAATTTAGTTATAATTACCTTGTTGGGTTTTATATCAACATATCAATACAGCTTTAACAGTGTGGTAGCAGCAAGACATATGCTACAGAATTGGTGAAAATAACCCAGTCGGTTTTGTCCTTCAGTCAAAGAAGACATTCTGTTATTAAAGGCAGTAATCTCCTTGTTTATAAAGAGATGTAGGCTTACCCTTCCCTCAGCATGACGCAGTGGTTAAAAGTGCAGACACTGGACTCAGACAGATTTGGTTCTAATTTCAGCCCTACTGTATGACTTTAAGGCAAATTAAGTGCTCAGAGTCTGAGTTTTGAGATAATAATAGAAACTAATTTATGGGATTGTTAAAAGAATTAAATAAAATGATACATAAAAGTCCTTAATGTAGTATCTGGAAAATTCAACTGCCTAGTAAATATTAGCTGTCATCATTGTGAATATTCTTATTCACAAGGTAACTCATAATGTATTCCTGGATACCCCATCATTCTTCCCAAACCCTCAAAAGATAATGACTTGATATCATAGCAGGGCCTCTTTATATCTTAAGAGAGCCTTGATACTTAACCATTTAACATATCTTGATTCTAAACAAAGGCATTAAATAGTATAGGTCCTCTGTAACTCAAGAAATGTCTTTCTGCTCCTCATCTTTTATTCTGTTAAACATTTGCTTTTTGTGAAGTTCATAAAATGCACTTTATTCATTAAATCATTTTGTATTTACATATGAACAATTCTTATCCTAAAGTTATTTTAGAAGTTAGGAAAATACTTTAAATAAAATAATACAAACATATTCATTTATGTCTTTTAATGAAATCATGAATCTTGACTTCTAGAATTTTTTTTTCTTTCATTAAAACAAATCAAAACCCAAAAGTCTCTAACATGGCCTCTCAACAAGGCTGGAATAAAACTTCTAGAATGACTGAGCATTGACGGTATTATGTAGTTCAGACTAAAAGCAATACTAAACAATAAAATAAGTATAAGGGAAATCCAACAAAGTTCTGATTTTTCCTATCATATCTATTTTTTAAGAAACTCTTAGATATAACATCTTTCCCAAAATACCTTTCCTCGTTTTTTTGTGACCCATCTTTACTGGTGCTGTCACCACATGCTTAGTTAATCTTTTGAGTAACCCATGACCACCTCTCTGGATATCAGGCTTATAGTATGTGTGAGCTTGATACTGTATATGTTGGTTAGTTATCTTCTTGACTGCCATGTTGGCTTGGTTGTGTTATCATTTATTTTGGCTGTGTTAACGCAGATAAGGCCTGTGCAGAGGACATTCTCTGGCTGCTGGGCAGAGAGGTTTTTTGTATCTTCTCCAGTAATCCATGGACACCCTTCTGTCATCTTGGAGAATTTGACTCGTTAGAGAAGCTAAAAGGAGAGCCTTCTCACCACTAGTGGGCTGTATTTAACTTCCTTGTATGAATTCTGAAGCTGACCTCACATAGAGACCTCACATAGACCTATAGATATATAGGTCTAAACTGAAGTGTACTTCACTGATCTGATTGCCCCCACCTAGAAAAAAGAACAGCCAAACACATAAGAGTGACTGTCAACTTTAATCTAGTATACTAGATAAAATAATGTATATTTGTTCATATCAAAATAAAAAGCCAAGGGCAGTAGCACGTACCTGTAGTCCCAGCTACTCAGGAAGCTGAGACCAGAAGATTGCCTGAAGCCAGGAGTTCAAGGCTGCAGTGCATCATGATCATGCCTATGAATAGCCACTGTGCTCCAGCCTGGGCAACATAGGGAGACCTCATCTCTAAAAAATAAAAAAAAAAATATGAAAATAAAAAACTCTGGGGAAATTCAAAGTGCTTATGAACCCAGCCTAACTGATTTTCAGTATAGCTACGGAGGGATTTTAGAAGCATTAAAAGCATTTGTGAGAAAAAAAAAAAAAAAAAAATCCACATGTTCTCGCTGTCAAAAGAAAAAAAAAATAAAATAAAATAAAAGCATTTGTCGTGTATTAGAAGCATTTGTCGTGATGAGGGGACTCAGAAAGAGAACTAACGTTTCTTGAGCATTTAGTCTGTGCTAAGTGCTAACATAGGTTATCTCATTACGAAACATTAAATGTCTAGGTGTTACTTGTAGACTAGTAAATTGTGCTAGCCAGAGAAAAACGTCTGATTCTTTCCCCACCCAGATGATAATTTGAGGAAACCAAGACCCAAGATTGCCTAAAGTCTTTTGTCTGCTTATAGATCCAAAGCTGGATTTATCATTTTTTTTTTACAGCATGGGATAAATGTCTCTGTTTCTCAGTTTGGTTTAAAGACACCAGCTTTCTGAATGGGACCTGCTTCTTTTGGGTTAGTGATAACCTACCAGTTAGCTAGAAAGATATTGTGCTTTTTAAAAGAATGATTCACTACACTAAGTAGCATTATCAAATTACTTAGTGTCCAGTAGGTAGGTCAGATATAATCTCCCAAATCTATTTTATTTATTATTTGAAGCATTAAGTAGTCATAGCATAGTACATTTAATAGATTGGTGCTAGATTAGTCAGAATTTATCTTAACCACTTCCTGGTGAGCAAAGAAATTTTTTCATCAAAATGTAGTCTGTGGTTTCTGACTGTGATTAAAAGCAAGGGACAGAATGTTTTTCTCCCTCCTTCCCCAAGTATTGTATGTTCATTTTGTGTCTTATGTGTGGATATAAACATTAAAGAGATTAAAAAAAAAAAAAGCCCACTCTTAATCCCATCCCTAGGGATAACCATAATGAAAATTTGGTATAAAATCTATCCCCCATGCTTTAGTCTATGATTATCTAAGTGCGCATTACTTATCTATATACATACATATGTAGTGGTTAAAAGCATGTGGACACTGGAACCAAAGTACTTAAGTTCAAATTCTATCTGCAACAGTTTTTCCAAAGATCTTAAATAAATTGCAGTTATCCATTTTTTAAATGGGGGCTATTAGTAATACTTGTCTCATAGGATTTTTGTTAAGGTTTAATGAGTTAATATGCAATTAGTGCTTAGAACTCAGTAAGTACTACAGTGCATCCAGGTGCTATTATTAGACGTAGTACTTCCTTATCCTTTTTAATGACTATTTTTTATCTTCTTGTGTACCATAATTTATTTAAATGATTTTATATTTAATTTTTATGGACATTTGTTTCTAGACTTTTCTGTTAAACAAAACTGTAACAAACATCCTTAAACTTTCATCTTTGCATACTTGTCTAATATATTTTGGATAAGTTTATAGAAATGGAATTACTAGATCAAACTGTGATCACATTTTAATTTTTGATACATATCACAAAATTCTTCTCTACCTGCAGAGAGAGTATATACTCCCATACTCTTCAAAAACCAGAATTTCTAAACAGGAACTTTTATGGACATTGAAAGCAAGTTATAGGCCAGGCGCGGTGGCTCACACCTGTAATCCTAGCACTCTGGGAGGCTGAGGCGGGCGGATTGCTCGAGGTCAGGAGTCCAAGACCAGCCTGAGCAAGAGCGACACCCCGACTCTACTATAAATAGAAAGAAATTAATTGGCCACCTAATATATATAGAAAAAATTAGCTGGGCATGGTGGCGCGCTGCCTGTAGTCCCAGCTACTCGGGAGGCTGAGGCAGGAGGATTGCTTGAGCCCAGGAGTTTGAGGTTGCTGTGAGCTAGGCTGATGCCACGGCACTCACTCTAGCCTGGGCAACAAAGCAAGACTCTATCTCAAAAAAAAAAAAAAGAAAGAAAGTTATAAAACATAGCAGTTTAAAAGCAATTATTATAGTAATTCATTTCACTGTAAATAAACACAACTCTTCAGACTGTTTTGAAGAGTCCAATGTTAATTTCTTGTGTTTGGGAACATTCAGTTCTTCTAGGGAAGCCAGATGATTATGCCTAAATTTTGGAAGAACAGGCTTTCTCTTGGCTTAGAGGGGCTTTGTATATTGTATGAAAGTTCTGAAGTACATCTTTGATGTTTTTTGCTTTTCATCCACCTTCACTATGTTTTTCCTTACCATTCCATTGAAGCTGTTTTGATGAAGTCACTAATAAAACCTATGGACATCTTTCCATTTTTATCTTAATCCCTCAACAGTTGTGAGAACAGCATAACAGCATAGACGCATAACACTTTCTTTTTTTTTTTTTTTTTGAGATAGGGTCTTGCTCTGTCGCCCAAGCTAGAAAGCAGTGGCACAATCATAGATCGCTATAACCTCGAACTCCTGGCCTCCAGTGATCCTCCTGCCTCAACCTCCCAATACTGGGATTCCAGGCATGAGCCACTGCAACTGGCCTTTTGTTTTAAAAAAAATCTTCCCTTGGCTTCTGGCTTATCTTTTATCTCCCTCTCTACTACTTTTTGTTTTTCTTTCCTTACTCCTTTTTTCCTAGCCATTAACTTGAAGTTCTTCAGAGCTCTAACCTCTAGGAAGTTACTTATTGCTTCTCCCTTGCTGATCCTGTTCACTCCCCTGGCTTCAACTGTAAATATTTACTCTCAT